TGTGCAGGCAGCAGCAGCAAGTACAACCCACATCTCTTTGGAAGTGCTGGAGAATAGTATCAGATGTTTCTAATGGCAATAAATATTTATCATGACAATAACAGACAATCCACTTTCATGTATTGCAATTACAAGAGACTGACAGTACGTAGTACAAGCTCTGCTGTAGAGCCTCTTCTAAGTCAACTTCCAAAGGAGAAAGAGGCTCAGACTTTTACAGTACTTCATGTTCCTAGCCTAAGTTCCCATACGCTGCAGCCAGAGCCATGTTATTTTTTCAAGGAAATACAAACTGAAGCAAGGACTTGGCAGTGGAAATTTCAGCCATGATAAATATATTAACTGCAATGGTTTAATCTTTTAAAGAGAATCTCCTGGCTTTGGACAGATTTAGATTTTGAAAAAGAAAATAATCTAATTTTACAATACGTTTGTTCTGCATTTTAAAAGCTACAATTCATTTTAAAAAGCTGAAATGTGTCAGTCTAGAAGTTACGTGAAGTGACTCATGGGATTTGGCTTTAGTTGTTTCACTTTTTCATGCTTTTCTGCATATTAAGAAATCATCTGGATAAAAGAGTTCTTGAAAAGACAGTTCACTTCTTCAGCAATAGGAAATCACAGTGAATGATAGGAAGACAAGCCCAATCTACAACCTCAATTTTAGCCACCTACCTTCCAATTAAATACAATCTGTGGTGACTAGAATGCAATTTAGTAGAACAGAAGTAGACTTCTCTTTTAGGAAGAGATGAATCATGTTTCAAGCACCAACAGACAGACTAGATATACACTGAATACAAAGGGACTCTGTGATGAGACAGATGTCTGCCATCTAGTCTTGCAGAATCCAGCTGAGGTATGTGGGTCAGGTACACTGAAGCAGAAGCAAGCTTTTCATCTAACCTGAAGTTAAGTCAAGCACAAACGCAGCTCTATACTGTCTCTGTACCCATATAAAACTACTAGAAATGCCATTTGGTCAACTTTTACATAGACATGCAAGATGGATGAAGCAAGATGCAAGAGCACGTTAAATTGTTTTTACTTTGGGGAAAAAAAATGATAAATAATGTGTGTACATTTTCATGGCATGAAGTTGTAAGTGCATTTGTTTGGCTTATTTATGTTTGATGTACAAGGAATACAGAACATTCACTCAAAATATGCTTGTAAATCACTTAAAACTTTCACATTAACAAAACATGTCTAGAAAAAGGGAAGATCTATCTCTCCAAGGACTAATGAAACAAAAATTACTTGTGTTAAAAGGTTTTGCTATCTAGAGTATTCTGTATCAAATCTCTCCAAACGTGCTTCCTTGGCAAGATCAGGAAAATGAGTACCTGTGTCTATACATTATACACAGTTACATGAATAAAAATACATAAATGCTTTTGTTGAAAATAGATGGATAAAGCCTTATTACTTAAATCTTACAGTATTCATTTATCCCAGAAACACTTCAGGCTTTTAGAGCAGTCACCACAAAACTTGCTTCTAAATTGTTGACAGTAATATATAAAAAGAAGTTGGTTTTGTTCGACTATCTGCAATTTAAACTGAAACATAAAAGTGAAACTAGCAGCATTAATAACCTTGTAAATTCCTTGTGCCACTGTTACATCTGCTGTCTTCGGTTTCATTTCTTTACCCAGTTCCTGTACCAGCACTCACAACTACCAGCTTTTTTGGCTCATCTGTAAGATTGTTGGGAAGGAGTGAACAGCACATCAAGGAAACCACCACACACCAGTCCAGGAGCCCTTAGTGTGACACAATATTTAAGTGAAAGACTGACTAAGATCAAAGTAAGACTGAGTTCCCTTGGCAACCTGAGGAAAGCTTCTGGGACATTAGTATCATTCCTTGGACAAAGGAATTGTTTCTGTGGTGGACATGGCAACAGCATACAGTCTGACTTGCTCAATTACCCTTGCAACAGTTTCAGTGTACAAATCCATTTTCACACAGATTGTTCCCCCATATTTACTAATACAAATGTTTTCAGTCAATTAGTTCTGATTAAACAAATCTGTTTCTACAAGCTGCTTAGAAATCTACTTAACATTTCAAACAAAAAGAATGCAGCATCATTTATTTTCAACATTCTGAAATTTTCTTAACACTGCATTAAAATGTTTTTGCTAACTAATAGCATAACTGTGTTTCCTAGTCACTGAGACAAACACTCCTCCTTACCCTAGGTAAATTTGATACAAAATTAGGTTAAGCAATAGAAGATGATTATATGAACACAGACCAAAAGATCAGTGTGTGAGATATATAAATACAAGTATTATTTATCTTTAATAGTGGGTCTATGTTATATGTAATAGAAAACAGTTCTACAATACAGAATTCAGTGTAGAGGCCATGAAATGTGGAAAATTTTAAGAAATAACTGAAGTAACCAACTTACTGTTTTGAAGAAAAGCCTTATTATTGTGGTTTTTTTTTGTTTTTTTTTTTTTAATGGATGCAAAGTGTATTTTAAACCAACAGCCCTTCCTTTGTTTCAGTGCAAGGTCTGCCTGTAGCAGGGAAACAAAACCTAGATTGTGGATTCAGAATTACTGGCTGAACAAAGCCCATGCTGTGCAACACCTGTAATATAAAATTTATTCTGTCCTGAATAAATTTACGTAATTGACAGAATACAGATTGGCTCCATTAAACAGAAATGTACTCTTCTGATGCATTTCATTTAGCTTCATACTGATAGCAGCTGATGGAATAAAAATATATGTGTTCAAAATTAACTATGAACTAACATTTCCTTTAGACTGAATTCTAACCCCTTCCCTCCCTCATTCTGGAACTTTATTTCCGTTAGCAAAAGAAATGTTCTTCTAGTAATAAACTAATACCAATGGCCTGGCTGTTAAGATTACTTCCACTTAATGCAAACTCCCTTGAAGCACAGCACCAATTATGAATAATTCACTTATCAATAACCAATTAAAGGCACATGATGCAATACACTTCCCTGTAGAATAAAGTGGTACCAGGAGTCAAGTGAAAAATGCAGATTACATTTTAAATAAAAACTGGTAAGAAATGTGTTTACTCTTTCTGTTAAGGCCACTGGGACATTAGGAAAAATTTTGCCTTGTTTCTGGAGGACTGGGGAGAAGCAGCATTCTAACACTTTTCTTTAAAACTTGGCAATTGTTAGTACCTACTTTCCACAATAGCAGTCCATTAAACAGGAAAAAAAGCAGCAAAGTTCTAACAATAAAGGAAACCACCACACTTTCTTCAACTTGGTTAAGTACCACTTGAAAATACATGGAAAAGTTTAGATTAGCATAGCAAATGAACCACTGAAATAACTATTGTTTTAGTATCATGAATTGTGCACAGAATTAACTTGAGCTTTTTAACATTTTTTTTTGTGTGTAATTCACATGCTTTTTGTACTTCACACTTATCCTTTACTGTAAAGGATGCAGTAAAAGCACAAATTCATTATGGTTTTAGTGTCTTGGTTTATTTTTGCCATGGTTTTGCTACACATGTAGGTATCAATGCATAGTTGGAAATACCAATGAATTTGAAATGCACATGAAATACTGGCAAGGAATTGTTAGGCAATTCATTCCTAATAGGCAGGTGTATCTCCTAGGTGACATGAACTTCACCATTGTTCTCTAATCTGTGTACCCACAAATTACAGCATTACATGCAACCTGTCAGTTTACTCTGAAAAGCTGTCAACAGCCTGAGGTGAAGTTGCCTGAAGGCCAGGATGTGAGACTGCCAGGTAGGTCTGCAGGGAGAGAAAGAATTTAAGTGTCACATGTTCTTGCTGCCTTCCTTCATATATTTCTAAGTGGCATTCACCTGTTGCTGTGGTAGAACTGGTACAAGAACATGACCAGAAAAGTAAGATATTGAAACACAGCTGAAAATTATTGTAAAAAACCCTCACAAAAATCGCAATACAGAGAATGAAAATATGTGTTTTTAAACTACTGAAGATATACCTTAAACATCGCCAGGACATTACAGTACCATACCAATCTTAAGGACTGTTGGTGGACATAGAGTTACTGAAAATACTACAGCTACAATCTAAAAATGAGAAAATGCAATTCTCCACTTTGTTCCTATATGCATTTCCCTTTGCAACAGACCTGTATATTATAAAGCGCAAAATTATATGAGTATTATACTATGAAATAAGAATTCAGAAAATTTGCTGCAAGGATTTAAGTGTTCACTTCTTGCACAAAATATATTCATAACTGGAATTTCATAACCTTATAGTTTAAAATACAGGTTAGAATTAAATGCATGAACTCCTCCTCTTCTAAACCATTAAACCTTTGGATAAAAGGCAGTTCCTGCTTTGACGACTCTAAGCCAACACATTTTTGATTGTTTCCCTAAGCATACCTTTCTTACATGAAGAATATATAGGGCAGAGACTATTTGGAAGGCACATTTTAAAAGGTGAAACGCTTTCTGTAATTGGCTTAGCGTGCATCAGCCAGCCTCTAGTACTTTGCAGCCATAGGTCTCTGGTACTCAGTAAGCCAGTCATCCCAGATAGTATCTTCTGTAACTTCTTAGCACTTTATACTAAGATATATTTACCCACATGAGTGTCGTATGAACACATCACCTCATCTTTACTTCCTTTGATAACTTCAGCTCAGCACATGCTACCCTATATATGCTCTTCTATAAACATAAATCCTTTTGACTGCTGTTCATCACAAACTGGAATTAAGGTCCCGTCTCCTTAATGGCCAATGGAGTTCAGTGAACATAAAAATTAGTAAAACAATGATTAATAGACAATTCTCAGCTTGTACACTGTAACCTAGACAAGAGCTATACTTTTACTTTGGGACTTTTTCTGAGAAATTTCTGTAAATGAAAACTGAATAGATCCCAGCACAAATTACTACATTATGAACATGCAACACAGTAACATGTTTTGTTAGAGAACTTGTTTATGAGGAAATTTATACTTCCATGTAATAATACTGAATTTTATGGATGACATTGCACTTAATGGAAAATGTTGTTTATGAGGACAGCAGTAAGGTCTGTAAGCAAACTCACATTTTGAGCAATTTTAATTTTCTCATATCTGAATCTTCCTGAATCTTCCCAAATTTTCCCTAAAGCTTCTGTCTACTGTAATAAGTAAGTTTGCCTTCATACAGTCCTTAAATATTCAAGCCTTAACAGCCTTTAAGAAACTTCATTCTTAAACATCAATGCGGATTCCATGTTTTATAGACATTAATTCTCTAGTGCCTGTTAAATACATAATAAATGAACATAGATGAGGTAAAGATGCTGTAATTGCCACATAGAGCCAATATGGCAAAGGAGGAGTTTTTCCAAATGGGCAGATCCAGAGGCCATGACGAATCCCGTCACGGATGTGATGAGAAGTCCAGGATATGAACAACATCCAGGGAAGAAAGCACCATGAATCTTTAAGCCTGAAAAGGTGCATAATAAACTTTAATGTCAGAGCCACAACAGGAATCACAGTAGAACAGTGAAGAAATGGTCTCCGTGGAAGAGTCAGAGCAGCCTGCAGAAAAGAAAAAGATAATTGGCAATAGGTACAACTGTGACAAGAAAAGAAATGTTTCACGGATGTTTACAGGTGTATTATCAAGTGGCTAAGTGCAAGTGCAAAGAAAAACACACTGTTCCTTTCCACTGTAGTTTACCAAAACCAACATGATTATTTAGACATACAAGAGCTGTTTAATGGGCTGTATCTCTATTGTATGGTGTGAATCACGCATCCAATGAAGCATTACCAATGATGAAATAGGGAGGGAGAGGGATGAGCTGTGCTATCTGTCAAATAGGCATGTGGAACCTTGTACGCACAGAACTTGTACAGTCTGCTGTACTGATTACATGTATCTAATTTTGAATTCAAAACCACCATATAATACACTTAAAATATTTAATATGCTCTACTTGAAATATTTCATATGTTTTAATGATTTTAAAAAAAAACCACTATACTGGTTAGCACCTGTGAAGCTGTTTTAGTTGAACAGCATCTGAAACAGAACAGTAACTTCCAATACAACAAAAATATCATTTAAGTTACATATATTTTGGTTGCCTTGACACAGTATTCTTTACAGACAGGCAAAAGACAAATTCAGAAGCCGACCTCTGAACCATTTGTGACTGGGCTCTTTTTAATCAACAAATTGTTTAACACTATTTCAGTTGAAAGCCTGATATTTGGTTTTAATTAAGGCAAATGGCTAACCAGTGAGATTAAAATTAAGCGTTTTAAGAAGTGATAGCTATCAATTTAATATATATACTTGAGAAAACATTCCAGATGTACTTACTAGCAACAGCCAGAACTATCTCCACAAATTTAGGTAGTAAAAAAACGAAACAAAACAAAAAACCTGTTTCGGTTTTCTAAGCAACAAATAAGTAAATCCTTGCTTCTGTAAGCATAAGAAAAATGATAGCACATTACTAAAAGATCTATACAGGTGTTGATGTTGATATTAACTGGTTCAATTCAGATACCAGTGAGCATTTGGAAAGACTGTTAACAGGCACCAGAGGCATACTCTTTGTATATAATGGTGCATCTGACTGTTAGTTTGAATACTGCATCTACTGCAGAAAGCAAACAAAGCATTACTACAGGACACCAGACAGTAACCTGTCAATGCTTCAGCCGTGTTAACTGTTGCAGGTTTCAGCTATGGGAAGTGGGACTCTGGAATGGCTTAATGAAGTTTTTATGAGTAATTCAGACAACTGCTTGGAACCGTCTTCATTGTAAGGAAACTTTGATGTAGCCTTAGCCACAAATCAGAGATGAAAACTTACGGGCCACCTTAGAATAACAGCCCGTGCTTTAAACTAATGCCAATGTTAAAAGGCTCACAGAAAGCTTTGCTCTATTAGGTTCCCACCACATGCTTCTCTCTGACTCTCTCAATCAGGTGACGGAATTAAAAAGCTCATAAACTGTCTCAGCAACTTTTAACTGCAGTGGTATGGACTCAGCTCCTTAAAGTTGGTGCAAAGGGTATATTTTCTACAACTTCATTTCTGCTTTATACAAGCAGAATTCAAGGATTGAGGCAGAAAAATCTTGTGCTGCTACCCTACAAAGAGAAGTCACTGCTATTGTCAACAAGAGTCTGAAAAGTTCGTACCAGCCTAATTTTGAAAAAATTCCACGCTGGATAGTGATACATTCTGGCAGACATCCTACTGACTAGTCATTATCCCTGCACTTCATAAAAATCAGTGGTAAAGTCTAAATGAATATTTTCCCAATATTTGCCCTATGGATGTTAGGTACCAACAGCAACACAATGAGTAAGTAGAATGGGAATGTTAATTACATATGCAATTTATCAGTATTAGTGCCAACCTCTATCCAGTTTTGGGGAGGTGATGTTTTAATTTGTTTCATACAAAGTTTAGATGGTAAGGCTGTTCATACAACAAACTGACCGTGCAATTTAAGCACAAGACAACCCTATTCAGTAATAGCAGTAGTCATCGAATGCCTGAAATGCTGTGCCTAAGTTCTGAAAGAAGAACGCTTTGTTACCTCTTTTCCATCCTGTAACTAGAGAACATTTACATCTTTGAGTTGACAAGCCCAAGGGATAGACATGTTCCACTTGTCAATATAAGTCGTTACACACTTTCTCCTAACTTGTTTGCCTTTAGAGATTACCAAGGCCTTTTCTGCCTTAAATCTCTCAGAAAAAGATGACTATGATTTGGGTAGATTTAGGGGGATGCCTACCATGAGAGAGATCAGGCTGCAGTTGCAAACAGAATTTATTCACAAATTACCTTTCCATTTCCCTGAATGCTGAATCAGGTGCAAGATCTCGAAGCTCCTGTTGCTCCAGCCCCTTTTACCCATCACCATGAGCATCTGGAGACTGGAGACAATTCCATGCAAGAGAACCCAAGCTAACCCTGCTTTACTGCTCGAAGTGACACCACAGAATTTATGTAATAACATGGGCTGCGTCACTCATATTCCATGATATTTCACAGACCTGAAGTCTTTAGTTTTGGGCCCGATCTATAAATTCGATGTTGTATTAGTTGTTTGTGGGCATATCAGGAATGCCTCCTGTGCAGCCAAGGCTGGTCAGTAGCAGCACATTAACCAGCTGTTATACATATGTTTGCTGGTACAATCTTGTTTGCCACTGACTGCATTCTCTACACTTTAGAAGCTGGTAGTTTTAAGCAGCAAGCTAGCAATTCCTGCACATCTGTTCTACAACATGAGTTTTCAGGCTACAGTCCTGTGCGACACTGGGAACAGCCCATAACGCTGTTCTTGTTTTATCAGCAATGCTGAGTATGATGGCAGGCTGCAGAAATGTTCACCTTTAGAGCTAGTCAATGACACAGATTCTTCAAACACAAATTCTTAGATTCTTCTACACTTATGTCCATATAATACACAGTTAAAAATGGAATACAAAGAACTACAAATTCTAAGTAGCAAGGTCTTTGTAGACTTTATATTTGTTGCAAAAAATAATGTGGCCAAAAGGGCAGATCACATGCTACTTGGTACACAAGTATTTATCAGAGTAAACATATAAATACCACAGGTGACTATTTAACCTGAATACTGCAGAAAAATAATGATGACACCATGAAAAGCAGCCCAGTAGCCAAATAATCCAGTCAGCTGCGTCAGCAGGAAATGATGGGAGGAGTGTGACTGTAGCAACTGCAGGTAGATGGCAATACTGCCTACTTAAAAAAAGTAACCCATCATCAGATTTAAGAGTTATTATGAAGAGCTTTATATGTAATTGTGTAATGTGAAAAATACTGTTGTTACAAATTAGTAAGAGTGGTGTGGTTAATTAGATTCTTAATTTATTAGTTACTTAGGAATGTGTTGCATAAGCAGTAAACATTGTAGTCTCTTAAATCAGTTACTCTCAATTCTGCAATCTAAGGAGGAAGAATGGGACTGGTGCTAACAAATACATAGTAAAAAAGTATTCCACGGAGTAATAAATTATATAGGCAACAGCCTGAAATTACTACATGAAACTGAAAGTTACGTCATATAAAGCTGAAGAAAGAAAAATCACGTATTACAATCAAGTCTAGCTAACTGGGCAACAACAGAGCAGTAAAGAGTAGCGTATTACATTATATCACAAGCTAAAAACCCTCTGATTGTAGTGGAAGAAGATTTAAAACCTGTAACAGACTTGGTTTTGGTTTTTGGTTTTTTTTTTAAATGACAGAAATGTTGCATGTATGTGACACTAAAAGGAATTAATCTATGCTATCTGGATCTAATGAAATCTCACCTAAAATACTATACACAATTTGGGCCGGGACCCTTTAAAGATAATTTAGGCATAAGGTAATACAGAGGAGACCAAGAAAAATAGTGAGGGGTTTAGAAAACACAGATCTAGGCCCTTCACATTTTTTGCAAGCCAGCTAGTCAAGAAGAGACTCTTTGAAAAGCATAATGGTTTTGCAAGTTGTACTGCTGTTACTGCTATAAGGGTCAAGAGACATACACAGGACATGATTCACAGATAAACATCCTTTATTAACGCAGTTAATGTTTGGAAGGAGAAGTTTATAGGCAAATTGCTATGAAAAAGCCTTTAGGCATCCTGCATTCTCCTTTCCTCAGCTAAATAAGTTTGGCTACTAACTTACTGCTGGCTATTCTCCTACTTTCAATACCTTGTAGTTCTGATTTGAGCAACACTGGGGAAAGCACAGCAATCAGCTATCTTCTCCAGAGAGGGCACAAAGAATAGGGAAACAAGATCTAGCTGTCACAACAATACTTTAGGCTGGATATTAGAAAAAAACTGCTAGCTGCTTGGGAACCAAAACAACACAGGAAAAAAAATTAAGTCATGAAACTGCAGTTATTTACTTTGTTTGGGATACTAGGGATAGGCTATAAGAGCAGTCTCCATTATGGAAAATATAAGCATATTTAACCTCACCTCCCTGAAGGTGGCAGAGACAGGTCACCTCCCAGTTTTTTGACACAACTCAACTTTCTAAACAGACACTGGTGAAGAGCGTCATCTAGTGGTCATAATTAAGAAAAAATACTGGTAATAACCTCAAAAGCAAGAATAAAGCAGCAATAAAACTTTAACAATACTTTCTAGTAATTAACTATTCATTACTTGCATTTGCTGATTTTAAAATAAGGAAATATATACAGAAAGTATTATAGATTTAAATTCCATACCAAAATGTTAATATTATAGGACTCCTTAATGAACCAAACTTTCCTTTTCTTTATATAGTTTCATAATTTTACAGTATTTCCATATGCAAGAAGTACAAGAGAAGGGGAGAACTAGAAGCTGCCTAAGGAGGAACAATACCAGGCAGCGCTACATGCTGGAGGCTGCCTGGCTAGAAAGCAGTTTTGAGGAAATTTAACTTGTTAGAGGAAATTCAACTTGTTAAATACAAGTTGAGTATGAGCCAGCAACATGACCTGTGGCAAAGGCGGCCAGTGGGCTGCTTAGGAGTGTTGCCAGCAGGTAGAGGAAAGTGATGCTTCCCTTTATCCTCAGCACTGGTAAGACCACCTTCGGAGAGATGAGTCCAGATGGGCTTCCGACTATGAGATACATGGAGCTACTGGCAATTAAGTCTGGAGAAGGGCCACTAAGAGTGTGAAGGGACTGGAGCATCTTGCATACGATGAGAAGTGGGACTCTGCAGCGAGCTCCAGGTGAGCCTGCTTCAGCAGGGGGCCTGAGAAGATGACTTCCAGTGGACACTTCCAACTACAACCAAGAGCAAGTTCCTAGTAACAAGCAGAGTGGCAGGGCTGCTGCTATGGGGAGCAAGAGCTAGCTGGGTGTCTGCCTAAGGTATGAGATATGGCAGGCACAGAGCTAAGAGAACTGGGGCTGGGTCTGGCACAGACGGAGCTTACAGAAGGTGCCAATGTTTTGTAGAGTATACAGAAGAAACTGTTGTGGTCAGCAAAATCTGGGCATACATATCTACAACAAGCAAGAAAGACAGGGCTATAGGTATGTGAATGGGGAAGGAGGAACAGAACACACCGAAACCACCAGAGCACTACCAAAAAAAAATGCCATAATCTGGTAGTACTCCTACTGAGAAACTCTTGTTACAAGCAGTTCTGCAAGTGGATGATGATCATGTATACTCCTTAACAAGAGAAAAATCACCTTTTTATGTTTATAAAGAAGTTGACACTTGCTTTTTTTTTTTAAATGAACTATATTTAAGGGCAAACTCAAACTGCCTTTTTAACAGTGACAGCTCATATATAGCTTGTTTGTGGGAGAAATACTTAGGGCTGGCTAAAACCAAATGTACTATTCAGTCAGACTGAATGAAACCAAACTGCAGCTCAATTATCTACTTTCCAGATATTTCTATCCCTTATTGTAAACAGAAATGGAATAATCCACTTTATACAAAAAGCACACACTGCAGCACTTAACTGTTTAACTTGGATAACAAAGCAATTATGTGATACACAGAGGATATAATAAACAAAGGCTTTCAGAACTCCTTTTTACAGAGCAAGAAGAACTTAACAGTAGATATAAAATACTTCTAGGGCTTTTAAAATTTTAACAACTGCATCAAATATAATTCCCATATATCTACTAAATGTATCTAATTGGAACTTTTTTTGCTTAGGATATGGCAGAAGAACAAAAAAGTAAACAGTAGTGAAGAAAAAAAGTACACAACCACTTATCTACTGACTTACCTTTAATGACAGGGAGCCAGCAAGAACGAAGTGGTCCACATCAATGACAGAGGAGAGGAAGCCAGCCAGAGTGACCTCAGTGAAGTCACTTTTCTTCCTGAGTCCAACCACTATTGCCCAGGACCACATTCCTAGTATACCGTGCACTGCATTATCAGAGAAGGCTCGGAGCCAGTCATTTTGCTGAATGAAAGAAAATTGCAGAACTCTGTCTGCTACAAAGCAAAATACTCCCAAACCTAGACTAGAAATAACTGAAGCTGTGCTGAAAGTCTGGAGAAGAGCATGGGCCTTTTCAGTCTCAGATGCCATGGCAATAAGCATGTTACATCACACAAAATGTCATCAGGACACACACTGTACATTGTCCTTTGCATAATCAGTTGTTCTGTAACTGTTAAGAACAGAGAGAAAATTATTAAAGAAAAAAAACCTAACATCACAAAGCATTTATCACTACTACAGCTGAGCAAAGAAAACTCCAGTTCAATATTTTATTATATATTCCTAGGGATTTCTTTTTTCATTTCAGTTATTTTATTCTATTTGTTTGTATTATATGTATTATCACCCAGGTAGTCCTCTCTGAGCAACATTTTTTTTTTTTAGCTTGGAGACTAGCACATCGAATAAGCATTAAGAAAACCAGAACCACTAAAATATCTTTACTATTTATCTCAAACTCTAAGACAATAATGATTCAGTCAAGCAGAAGTAACAAAAACTAACTCCGTACAGAGCAAAACTACTTATGCTTCTCCACAGTATGTGCTCCAGCAGCAAACTCTGCTGTTACTTTTAGGACTTGTTTATTGTCTGCCACATTACCTTCACAACAGCTCTTCTTGCAGAAGAAAACAAAAAAACCAACAAAAAAACCAACTATCTCAGACATCTTACTTTTCAAAAGTTGACTGTTTTAATTTGAAAATAAATGCACTATTACTAGCATTAATAATCACTTAAACTTTTTTTTAAATTATGAATGTTCTGTAATTGTTATGAAACTCTCTCCTAGAAGGTGATTTCTTGGGGATTACTGTCCCTAAATAACCATCTGACACCTCAAAAGAAATTCCAAAAATAATTCAAGCCCTTAAAAGACACCCTCACCGCACTTCCAAGAAGCAATTATGGGATACTTGGATTATAGAGACAAACTACTCATTTCTGTGATACCATAAAAAGCCACACGTTTGAAATAAAAGTGGGAACACGTTAAAATGATGTATTCCCAAGCTTTATTATGTTAAACACACTGAATAGCAGTCTGAAGGACAGTATAATTTCTGACTTTCCCAACTATTACTCTATTCTGCCTTTTGGTGGAGCCATGGAAACAGACCACAGTTTCAAAGCCTACATCCTAGCCAAAAACTTTTTTCTCCAAGAGATTGCTATTTCTGTGCAATCTCAATAACTCTTCTTCACACAGTACTATTAGGTAAATTTTTATTCTAAATGGGCTTTTACCAGTGTATTAGACTATCTTTAAAAGTGAAAACTTCTAACAATCATGACACGTAATAAACATGTTATTGATTATAAGGCCCAGAAATCTACAATGTGTCTTCCAGATTATGTGCATGCCTGCTTATTGTAGAATTACTCACAAAAATATGCATACTGACACTGATCTTTGTAGAAAAAAAGCCCACTGATTTATTTATTTATAAGCTCTTAAGGAGAAGAAAGCATGAATAATACATGGACTTTGCTCACAGATGAAAGTAGATTGTGTTTAGAGTCTGTTAACCATGACTGTCCTGAAGGAAGATGTAAACACAAAGTACTTCCTGAAACACTGGAACTGCTATTTCTGGTACGTGACTTTACAACACACCCAACATTTCTGAATAAATTCCATTTTAAGGAACAAATGGTGATCTCCTCACAAATGTTTCTTCTGTATAAGCATCACATCAGATTGGCTTTTATTTACCGTAAAACCTGTAATAGGAAGCCAACTTGTGAAGAATTGATGCAGCAGCATACCTTTAGAAAGCACACCAGCATTCAGAATCCAACTTACTCTGGGACTAAGTGAACATATTCTTCCCATTGCAGTTGCTTTATTCCAGTAGCAAACCTGGTCTATGCCTCAGCATGGAGCTTCTGTGCTTTTTGAATCCTGCCTGCGCAGTCCAGTGCAGAGAAGACCAAACACCATTTGTTCCATCCTAAATGAATTGAACCAGGTAGCAGTAAGCACTGATACTACACAGAGCTCTTCAAACTCTCTATAAAACATACATAAAAATTAAAAAATAGTATAAAATAGAGAAAGAAGCAACATATTTTAAATGAATTCCTTAACAAATTTAATTGAGCTAAAAGTATCTTCAGCAAGGGCTTAGAAGCCCTGTGAGAAAAAGCAGGAAAAGACGACTATAAAACACAAGAAGGGTGCTAATTAAAGATGGAACAGGGTAATAATTAAAAGATAATAAACCCCAATGTCATAAAGTCAGAAAAATGCACTCCCAGCCTTCTGTTTTAAGTAACTGCATTTCAAACTACACGGAAACCTATTTTAACAGATACTTCTTGTAACTGTGCGCTTCAAAGATTCCCACCTAATGAAACATTTGTGAGTCACATTAAGTGGTCTCTTTCTAATTTCATTTCACCAGTTAGTGAGCTTGTCTATTCCAAGTGGTGACCTATAAATTCAAACAGCAATAGAGGTCTGCATCAGTCCTGTGGTGGGCTTACACTGCTTTGCTATAGATATTATTAACGTGCATAAAGTGCACAGGAAAACAAGTAACAAAAAATTAGTATTATTTGAGAATTATCATATAGTGAAAAAAAGATAACAATACCAACGGGAAAACAATATATGAATGGGTATATTTGAGCCAGAATAAAGAATAGGAAGCAAAAACGTGACTTCAGATTACCCTTAGTAGAGAGCCATGTCCATGGAGTAACTGTTTTTAAACTGTCTCTGTCACCTTTCACAGACACAAATGACTGATATCTGTGCAAAAAATCAAGTCAAATTCCCAGGTACAATGGCGTAACTATAAATATTCTGCAGATCAAGAGTGAAATCAAGACTAGAAAAAGCAAAACTCTGTTCAACCAAAATAATCTCTGAAACGACAATTTCTAATATAAAACTAGAAAATGCATTTTTTATGTGAAATAAACAATGCTTTTCAGGTGGTGTAAATATACCACAATAAAGTGTGATGTTTACACATATCCCAATAAAATATAAATTATCACAATGAAGTGTCAGAGCTTTTCTATCCTATAAATCTGACAAAGCACAGTTCTGAAGCTTGCATTCTTGTTAGAAGAGGAGTCGGAAACAGATGTATTACACAGAACGCTTAGAAACCTATGGGTGATCAGCCCAGTCGACATATTGGAAGAGAGATTTAGGTTGGGTTTACATAAAACACATGCACACAACAGCTGACAGAGTTACACTGCTCAGAGTTATGCTTTCTCACGACATTTTTCTATGAGATATATATAGCATTATGCATAATCTCTGCCTATATCCAGAAAATGCAATTTTGCTGATGCATTTAGATTCACTTACGGAAACTATAAAAATAATTTTAGCAAACATGCAGTTAACATTGTAAATTACTAACACAATAAGATATTTAGATCAAAGTTGCAAATATGTATTTGAGGAAATAGCTGATACTAAGAAGTCTTTCAACTTACGTTGTAACAGCAAGAGAAAAAAGTCAGGTACATGAATACATATAGGAATTCAATGCTTAAAATTAGTAGAACTATGCACTCTATGAAAGCAGTCAAGATTGCAGCAGTCCCTTATAATTCTATGATCTCCTAAAAAAAGTATTATTTGATACTGGATGTTAATTTATACAGAATACTCCATAAAGTTGAATTACCAATTAAGACATAAACTCAAACATTTAACGTATTATCTCATGGAAAAGCAGATCCGAGGCTAAAAAGACCTGTGAAGAACCAGTAATGCAAATATTTTGCGGTTAGATAATTACAACGCATTATTGATGTTGGAGGGTGGAAAGGGGCTGAACAGGAAAGAAGACAAAAGCACACAAGAAATCAGTGAGATTTTATCAAATTACTGAGGAAGAAACGAAATTAAAACCACAAGGAAATTAAGAAAAACAAATACCACCACCACCCCCCCCCCCCCCAAAATCAGGACTTAAATAAATTGTTTCTTTCAGGGACCATAACTTGAGGTGTTTTTTGAAAAGAGACACCAAGACACCAAACGGCACACCTGCTCCTTAATGAGTACTTTGGAACTGAGATGTACCTAAAAGAAAACATTTGGAAGAAATATCCTTAAAGTATTTAGGAATAGAAACAGATCCCAGTACTATCCAGTAGAAGAAAAAAAAAAATCATCTGTCATCCTAAACAAGAAAAAAAGAAGCACGAGCAGTTTATGCATTACCCTCATTAACTGCAACATCATTTGCATCGTAAATAACTAATCCAATTTAAGACTAGAATACAATCAGTATGTGTAACTAAAGACGGGGAAGAAGGAAAGACAGGCATGCGGCAAGCAGACGTGAAATTACACCGATCAGCAAAAATTTTTATGTCCTGAAGAAAGAGTATGCTTTGCTTCAACACCCACCACCAAAGCCCCTCATCAACCATCTCCTCAGTCATTAAGAAATAAAAATGTGCCGTCATCTTTACCACAAGAACGGCGCGTGAGGCAGGCTGGCAGCTAAGTGACACGCCTGGCTTTAGGCAAAGCACCGCATTCTTACATGAAGAGCCAACCCGTATATCCGGCCCGGGCTGCTGCGTGCGGCTTTCCGGCTCCGCGGGGCGAGAAGGGCTGCCGCTCGGAGCCGCCGAGTCCGCGGAGCCGGGAAGCCGCCCGCGGCCGCCGCCTGTAGCGAGGCCGCCCCGCAGCCCCTCGCACCCACCTCAAGTGCGGCCGCCACCGCCACCACCACTGCCAACAGCCCCCTTCGCCCCATGAGGTGAAGCAGAGCGGCCCGGACCCGCAGGAGACATGCGTGGCCGCGGAGCAGGCTGGGAGGACGGATGAGGGAGCTGCTTGTGTCGTGGTCGCCTCGGTCTGCAGTGCGCTGGTTGGCTGTGTGGAGACGTGTGCCGGGAAGTGTTGGGAAACAGGGTGGGGGGAGTCGCAGTGAAGCGACTGCTGGAGTACAGGAAGGCTCTGCAGAGGGATCTGTACAGGCTGAATCAACGGGCTGTGGCCAGTGGTAGGAGGTTCGACAAGACAAAAAAGTGCCTTGTCCTGGGTTTGGGTCAGAACAACCCCATGGAACGCTCCAGGCTTGGAGCAGAGTGGCTGGAAAGCTGCTCATGGCAAAAGACCTGGGGGCGTGATTGATGGAGCTTAACTCGATTCAGCTGGCCTTTATCAGCAATAGTGTGGCCAGCAGGGCCAGGGCAGTGATGGGGCTGCGGCATCACTGTTCAGTTCTGGGCCCCTCACTGCAGAGGAGTCATTGAGGTGCTGGAGCGGGTCCAGAGAAGGGCAAAAAGCTGGTGAATGGTCTGGAGAATGAGTCTCATCGCTGAGGGAACTAGGAAGGGGTTTAGCCTGGAGAAGGCTCATGGGGGAACGCTATTGCTCTCTAAACTGCCTGAAAGGAGGTAGTAGTGAGGTGAGGGTCAGTCTCCCAAGTAACAAGCGATAGGACAAGAGGTAACAGCCTCAAGCTGCACCAGGGGAGGTTTAGGCTGGATATTAGGAAAAAATTCTTCACAGAAGAAGGTGCTCAGGCATTGGCTGCCCTGGCTGCCCAGGGCGGTGCTGGAGTCAGCATCCCTCGAAGTGCTCACAAACCATATAGCTGAGGCTGACATGGTTTAGTGGTGGACTTGGCAGTCCTGGGTTAATGGTTGGACCTGATGATCTTAAAAGTCTTTTGCAACATAGCTGACTGTGTGATTCTATACAGGTAAATAGGTTTCTTTCTATGATCTCGGCCTTTGTACTGCTAATCTTCATCTCTGGAGCAGCAGGCTAGTGTGTTTTCACTATACACCACCAGTACAACAGTGCACCACCCAGTAACAGAAAATGCACCAGGAGGCACTGACGACACTTTAATACTTATTTACTACAAAACCATGAAGTAGAAAGCATTTGGAAAGCTTTCTATTCAATACTGGACTACCCAGTGTATGCATCTGCATAAAAGCGTATTTATACAGTTAAAACTGCTTATCCCCACCCTAGCCACTTGAGCAGTAACTTAAGTTCCTTGTACAGTCCTCTGTAAAATCACATGATTCAAACAGACATTCTTACATATAAAAACAGCACTTCCAGGTCAGCCCTGATGCATTTATACAGCTGTGCTCTGTTATTTCACTGTTCTTTATGCCTATCCACAACACAAAACTCTGGTCGTACAACAGCAACTCAGTCACTCTGCCTTAAGCCTTCATTCCTCTTGCACCTCGAAGCCTCCTCAGACAGAACTGCAACAATTCCCATGAAGATGCAGAACACAGGTCTTCATGAAGCCATGGGGCTTCACCTCCCACAAGCTGCAAGCAGAGATTCAATATCATGAATTACTTTAGAAGTTTTTTCCAAAGCCTCCAGGACGTACCCTTCACTGATTCCTTCTGGCTCACTCTCATTCTCTGTTTTTCTGACAGTAAGACCAGATGGATTGGTTTTTGCAGCAGATGTCCCTTCCAGAACATTGCTATTATCCAATAAAACTAGGGTTATTTTGTTAAGGAAAGAAAAATATAATTCAAACTCTTCCTCCTAATGAGAAAAATACTTCTCTGGATTCCTGTTCATCATTCTGCAAAGTCTCGCATTTCATAGCATGGCAATTACATAAAGCTAAAAAATAAAAGTGTATAACTTAAAATGTCTACAACATTTATAGAAAATGTCTTTGAGACTTTGATTTATCCAAAAGTTACCTTAAAAAGGAAATTATGTGATGTTACACTGCACATTCAACAGCTAGCACTTTTCGTACTAATCAAATTGAATGCTGGCTTGGAGAAAATTGTAAGAGTGGCTTTAAGCAGAGGCAGCGCAGCACACTTTTTTGAGCTATCTGAATACAGTGGAGTGGAACTTAGGTAATTAAAAAACAGAAGGGTTCTGTGCTGTAACAACAAGCCCCATGGCAACTGCATCATCCTGCTTTCAAGAAAAGATCAGCAGGTGAGTGTTAGTGAAGTTAAGGCAGTGCCCATTAAAGGGCTTCCTATTTTTGGTGATTTATTTATTTTAGTTTTATACACTGCCATTGCTTTTACTACTGGTGCTGTGATACAGAAATCAGACAAGCTAAACAATAAAAGGATAAATAAGAAAAAATGGCTTTATAAGATAAGAAGTGGGTAAAACAATAAAAGGTGATAACAGGATAGACAGCCTTTGATGATCAAAAATACAGATAAACAACAATGTAAAAGTGAAAAATCTTTACAGCTTTCAGAAAGGATACGGTTAAATCTCTGTATTTTTTCAAGCTCAACATCAGCAGACCTGTGCAAAAAAAAAATAGATTATTAAATGATGTAGTATCACGAAAAGTTCTCTTAATGTATTTTCTACTTCAAATTTTAATTTTTAGTAGTTTCCAGCAATACTAAAAATCAGATGAGCAAAATCCAAGTGAAAAAAAAAAGCAAGCTGTATTTTTGTCCTTCATACCTCAAGTAAATGGCTGCCATCTGTCAATCAGTTGTGTTACCAAAAATACGGACTCTGCTCTAAAAACAACCTCTTTGCTATATGTATGTATGTATGTACAGATACAACTTTTATTTCATCAGCTACTGAATCTGCTGTAATTTGAATACAAAGTGTAGTCATTTTAAATGATAAACCCCACTTTTTTAATACCTGAATGTGTTTGTATATGATGTCAGCAGACTTTTGTAGCATGTATTAAAAAGGACAAATGTATTAGCAAGAGATGTTACATGTCATTTAGCAGTTCAAAGTACTATTTTGAGCTGCTTGGTGCTCTGTTTAAAGATGCCTTTCTTAGCCTAGTTTCTCTTTTTCACCTTGCAAGATACTGTCTCTATAACATTAATCCTCCTTTGGCAAAGTCACCATAATTCTGATTTTTAAATAAGACAGGCAGAAGGTCAATGAAACAAGCTTCAGCTAGAACTCAATTTAGCTAACTTTTTAAACACTGAAAGAAAAATAAATGGACTTAAAATTATTACTTCTGACCCTTAGGAAATACAGTCTATGAAATTCAAAGTTTATTAGTCTTTTTGAGTTTTATTTTCAACTTATTTATAGGTCACTTATTTAGGATAAAGGTTATTTGTAGTCAATTATTTAGGATAAAGATTAATACCAATTTTCTTCAGTTACAGAGTGTTCAGTATATTCAGGAATCTCCTTCCTTTCATTCAAACTTCTGCACCATTTTATTGCTGTTCTTGTGTACCTACATTAACATGAAAAGTTACAAAAAAAAGTTATTTATATGAGAAACACGCTGCAGTAATTCAAGCAAAAAGACCTGAAGGCATTAAGCAATAGACCTGGATCTGAAAGAAAAACCATGAGTCAAAATCTAGCTTTTTTCTCTAGGTTCCCTTGCCAATTTTTGATTCCCATTTTTTGTCTAGAATCTTCTTCATATTAAAATTTGTGCTGTCACAGAAAATCATAACAAAGCTGTATGATTTGTAATGAATAGTTTACAAATGTTAATTTTTGTTTGTGAATATCTCCTTACTGAAAAGTAGCACAGTAAGCTTCTAATGATTCCCATAATGAGGCTGTAATTAGAGCAAGCAGATTAGAGAAAGCAATCTGCACGCAGAGGTCAGTATCTGAAAGTCAGTCTCTAAAGCAAAAATCTGATAAAGTGCTATCCACTTCTGTGTACCAGCTCTATATAGGACAAGGATTTTTTTCTTCCCCCCCGCCCCCATCCTTATCCACTGATCTAAGTGCCAAGTTTCAGCTCTAGTCACTTTTCTTAAAAGATATTACTGGAATAACCATAATGGAATGACAGTATGCAGAGGTCCTGAGCCATAAAGGTCCTGAATCTTTGCCAGATGAAACACAGAGCTTTTATCATGGTGTGTTTGGTGTTACCCCCCTTCCGTATATTTTCTGTAAATACCATGTCTTCATATAAGAGATCTGTGCAGAATTCTTTTCCATTTAACTTGTTTAAGTTACTTATACCTTTCATAGATTCCAGGATGACTTATTTGTATTAGCTGCTGTAACCCATCAGAAGTAGTTAACTTACACCAGCCTACATCTTCGTTTATCTTAGAAGAAAAAGAAAATTAGAATTATTAGTTTTCTGATACAGTCCAAAGAAAAAGAAAAAAAAAAGCAAGTATAATATGCCAGTTTAAGAATTAAGTATCTATGAACATTCCACTTTAAATACTTAATAGTCTGTATTTCACTAAGGATAGAATTTAGTTATTCAAGAATAAACTACATCCAGAAAAGTGTATAGAAATGTTTCCAAACCTGTAGAATATTCAGTTCTTCCTCCTTTTATCAGGAGTGAGTATATAGATTCAAGTTCACATCAGGAAGTTATACTGTATCTCTTAACACACTATCATATTTATATATATATAGCAATGGAACTGAAGTCAGGATGCAGAGGATTAAGCAGTCACTTCAGGTCTCCTTTTGCTGTTTCTGGTGTGGGAGAAAACTGTAATCAATTTGAATGAATTGTGGGGGCCTATAAGGATGCAGGGGAAGGACTATTCAGTAGGGACTGTAGTGATAGGACAAGGGATAACGGGTTAAAACTTAAACAGGGGAAGTTTAGATTGGATATAAAGAGGAAGTTCTTTACTCTGAGGGTAGTAAGGCACTGGAATGGGTTGACCAAAGAAGCTGTGAATGTTCCATCCCTGGCGGTGTTCAAGGCCAGGTTGGACAGAGCCTTGGGTGACATGGTTTAGTGTGAGGTGTCCCTGGACATGGCAGGGGCTTTGGAACTAGATGGTCTTAAGGTCCTTTCCAACCCTAACTATTCTATGATTCTATGATTCTGTAATAGAGATGTCCTCAGACACTTTAACATATTTTTGTGTCTTGTCACCTCAGGATAATAAGCAAAGGCACAGAAGCAAAAGTCTCAGAAGTCAACCTTGAATTCCACACTCATATTTTCTCTGTAGTGCCATTCAGCAAAAATCGACATAGTCGTTTTACTTCTGTAGTAAATAGATTTAAATACATACATGGGAATACCATATGTACAAGGTTACTTCTCCGAGTAATTTTTCACTATCCATTTACTCAATGGCAGGTAATTTGAAGTAAAAACCAAATACTCCCTTCATTGATCAATGTGACTTCTTGAAAGGATAGTTTCATTTGCTTCCTTAGGCATCTGTGAGGCACTAAAATATTTTTCCCCCTTGTTTCTGGTTAAAATACTGGCAATACATTAATGGTGGTATTTGCAGATAGTTCCTGTTTTCATTTAGATGACTATACAAGCTTGTGAGACAAACCTACTCTTGAGCTTCTGTACTCTTCCAAATGAAAAATGCTATGAATGAATCTCTCCAAAGTCTTCAGTTTGTATTTTACATGCATCAAAACTTTTGTTTCACGTTCTCATTAGTTTCCTAGTGATACTTTTCATGAAGAGTTTTAAGAATAACTGTAACTCATGACTTACCTGGATCTTGCTATAGGAAGAGCTGAAATCCCAGACCATATTCAAGGTCACCCCATCCCAAAAAGCAGCATGGACTTTATGATCCGAGTACACGATGAGTCTTCCTATGCTGGGAATAACCTTTTCATACAGCAAAACTGGCAACATTTCTCGTCCATCTGTCTCGGGTACCTAGAATGAGACAAATGCATTAAAAACTTGAGGAAAGGTTACTTACATCATTCAGATACTTGAATCTCTCCCAGATCTTCAATTCACTTGTTTTTCCACACCATAATGAGATCCCTATCATGCAGTTGCTTTCTGTTTCACAAATATACATTTACACTGCATGCTATTGGTTCCCAATATATATCTTGTGATCTTCAAGGATACACTAACCATTCTTCCCTACAGATTAGGTCCTATTCCCTATAGGGCCTGCATAATCAACCTTATAACACTGAAAGGTTTATAAATCTTCAGCTACATACCATTTTCCAGCAGCAGAGATAATAGTTATGAGTTAGTGACAGTTTAGTCTTGTAGCAGTTCTGAAGTATTCTGAGAAAAAAAAAACAACAAAGTATTAAGCATTTCATACTTACTACATTTTCTAAATAGTTGTGATCTTCTGTAAGTTTATAGACATACTTAGTGCTAATATAAACTCCTTTAATTTTTATACTTCATGTCATAATATGTATTACGTGCAATTTTAACTACTGTGCTTTCACAGTCAGAGGAATTAATGTAACAAAGATAAATTAAAGTTACTTGGTTGCCTGAGTGATGATGGAGGATACAGAATATGAATTTCCTGGTACGTCGGGAGGTAGGCTGTTGACCGAATACATCTTCTCTTCCCTCTGCAGTAAAAAGCAGAAAGGAGGTGAGTTAGTTACAGGTACTGTAGCATGAAAACAGTATTAAAAGGTTGCAAGATATGAAACTTCTGACCTCCCAGAAAGCAACTGTAATCACATTTTTCCAGAACACGGACAAGTATCTCCTTGAAAAGTACTGACCTGCAGTTGTATTCTTCAAGCCTTCTTCTGTGGGAAGAAACATGCATGGTTTCCATGCACTCAGTATGGACCAAGTAGTTCGCTTATCAGAGAGTCAACTAGTTCATTACTGAGTAACTACGACTGACTACAAGTCACAGGCTTGGTTTGAAAGGTACAAAGTCGATGCTTAATTCTGCTTTAAAAATACAAAACACTGCATGAGCCTTCAGAGGATGTCTATTCTGAGGAAGTTTAACAATAGACAGACGCAGAGAGAGGCAAAGCCATTTCTCCAGCAATGAACAGCAGGTCTGTGACAAAGCTAGAACAGAACTTGCATCTTCTAGGTTCTGTCTCTATACCATGAAAAAGAAAACATTTCCAAGTGCACAAAGATTAACCTCTCATCAGTACATTAAAGACTAAATGTCTCTTCTAAATTAGTAAGAAATGGTCATTATAGAATCCTACTGCAGTGCATACTTGAGCTTGTGAAATGAATGTTACAATGAAAAAGAATTTTTTTATCTGTAAGAAAATCATATCCATCTGTAACTTATAAAAATACATTCTGGAACAGAAAGTATAATCTCATTTTTTGTATGACTGATTGATTCACTACAGATTGCATAGGCAAATGTCTTAAAAAATAAGGAAACTGCTTAACATGCAGGAATTTAGAAAATATTTTAAAATTTTAGAACAGTTTTATACCTTTTTTGTTCCTTTCTGGATTGCATAGTGTATGAAATAATTTCCAAAAAGTGTTCCCTCTGACTTGAGAACTGAATCATCACCAGGATAGATTTCTATGATGTTTTTCCTACCATGGATAAATCTGAAAGAAATAACAAGTGTTTTAACAAGTATTTTAAATGCTGTGTCACTACCCAAGCAAAACAGGTTGGTATACTTCAAGAAAGCACAAAGCAGAAACATATTTTCAGTACGACTCCTACATGAGAAACCTTCTACTGTTTTACAAACACCAGAGTGTACCAATTATTTCTTCTAACACAGAACATTAACATTGCCAGGCTCTTTCTTTGGTAGTGTACATGGTGTGCAGGAGTTAAACAAGCTAAGGAAAGCTTTTTTTTGTGTTGAGGTAAACATATCACAAGAGCTCATTCTGCTGAGAACAAAATACAGCAATTCTAAAGAGAAAAGTCTTCATTTTCTTAGTGGTCCAGCCCTACCTATGTGTACAGAGAGCATCAGAATGAATGATTTCTGAAGGTCTTCACTTTCACTGCAGCTGTGTTTTTCCCTAAAATAAATGGTCATTCACTTGTGATCATACGGTATCTCAGAAGCCTAAAAAGCATTTAATGGACCAATTCTGTGACTCTGCGATTATGTGCCTGGAGTTTGGTAATGGGACTTACAAGACTAATTAGGTACAGCTACTCACCATATCCAAAGAAATGAGGTATAGTACTGAAGAGCTGCTGAGCATTTTGTTCAGAAATGAGATAAAAATTTAGGAATTGCACTGAGGAAAGTGAAGAACACTGGGCAGAAAGATTAAAGCTTTAAACACTGATTATGTTTTTATCAAAGACTTTTAGATGCTGCTAGCAACTGTAGAATTTTCAGGTTTTACAACAGATTGGAAAGGGCAATTTTAGAAAAAAGTTTGGGGTTTTGTTTTTGTTGTTTTTTTTTTTAACCGTACACCTGTAAAATCCACAGTTTAGCTGCCTGCAAGATGCGAATTATGTAGGTCACCAAGACATCAAGACCAAGATAGGTCACCATGCATTTACAAAGCATGAAATCTTCAGCATCAAAAGCAGCAATGTAATTTTTAAAGAAACCAAGCACCATTTTGCCAGTGGGAGCTCCAGCTGTGCAGTAAACCTTTAAGAACTCTCATACAGCACCTTGAGCAACTTTGAGCAAGTAGGTGGTGTCCCTGTCAATGGCAGGGGGTTGGAACTACATGATCTTAAGGGCCTTCTTCTGTGATTCTAAAATCAGATCACTACTTTAAAAGCCTTAAACATGATTTCAGATTGATTGTTTCAGACATACCCACTTTCAGACCTGGAAATACACTGTACCAGAAAATCTGCAGTCCAGTGAACAGCAGAAATGAACAGACTCTTACATGAAGACTGTGTACAATCTCTCAAAGAGTGAGAAAGGGACAAAGTAAGGCATCTTAAAGCTTAATTTCTGTAAAGTCTTCCAAACATGAAACACAGGATCTTCGACATACCTATAAAAAACACCTTGCCACCATACGATTTGAATTAGCTGAGGGCATGAATACTTTTCAATGTCTTCATTCTGAAAGAAGTCACAGAAAGTCCACCTGTATAAAATACAACAAATGCTTCAGTAAGGCTGAAGGTCAGATTTTTTCTTTATGTGCTGCTGATCGTTTCTGTATCGAGAACAGAAGGATGCACACTTATTAAAGGAAAAGAGACTAGGTATTTTCAGATTCCTCTGATTCCTTAATTACCCATACTAGTTACCAAATTAATTTTCTCAAACCTGCAAAGGTTTTCTTTTGTTTTGTTTAATTATTTTTAGTGGTGCTGACAGAAAGTGTATGCCACTGGCACAACTCAGAAGTATTATCTTCTCAAAAATGAAACCACACCAAACAGATCAAAAAACTGTGTGCTTTTTTCAGTATTCTTTTTTTCCTTTACATAGTTGTACAGCATGTCAGAAATATAAAAAATACTTTTCTCTGGACTAACTCCTGTATTTTAATTACAGTAAGATACAGAATGTTAGTTTCACAAACTTCGTGTCTCTCATTCCTAAAAAAATAAATACTATTATAGTAATTTAAAAAAAACCTTTCACAGCTAGAATTCAGTTATTTTGCTAGAGGTTGAAGTTCCAAATTACATATTTCAAAACATGTCAAGAACTATGAAGTAAACAAATTACCTGTGTAAGTGTGGGGCTCTGCAACTGAGTGGCAAAGCTGTAGGTAAATGAGAAACTGTTTCCTTTTTTCCAGGGTCTATTAAAACATCAGTTTCCATAGATGGATGGTTCTTTTTTTCACATGTCTGCATTACCCTCTTAGCATTGTTTAAGTTATAGCACATTAGTGCCAGTGACAAAGGGTATTTCCATTCTTCCGGGTAGGAGGAGACGGACCAACACTGTGTAACCCATATGTATTCACAAGAATGATTCGTGTAGAACAAAGGGACTCCATCTGTGTCTCTTTGGTCCTCTGGATTGGTTGATTCTCTGTATTTACCTTCAGCACAACCTTGATCATTCTTCTTACCCTCTATTCTCATTTGTTTCAATGACATTTCAGCAACAGGATTCTTTCTTGATTTTCCATACTGATCTCTGGTTTGATAGTTGCTGTTCTTTTCAGATGAGTGTAGGGATGCTGCAGATGACTGGCTGACTTTGCATAAGAACTGCACTGTGAATTCCTGCTGCAATTCTGACAGGTAAAGGTGAGCATAACCATCTACTGATGAGATTTTCACACTGCCATTGTCTGCACATCTTGTCAGATCAGCTGTAGCAGGGTCAGGCCATCTAATTTCTAAGATATCCCTGAAAATAATCTAAACCAAGAAAAAGGACTGGAGTATTCAGCAAGATAAAGATGACCTGCTTCCCACAATTTGCAATGGAGGATTACATTTAAATGAATTCAGTCCTGCAAGGTGATACATAGCAAGAAATATTATTCTGCATTTATTTGCATACATGTACTCAAGAAGAGGCAAAATATCTCATTTTTGTGTCTGCTTTCTTCTAACAGAGTTCTACCTAGCAATAATGTTTTAATATGCAGTATTAGCTGGTAAGGTACATGGTCAGCTGACCAGGCACAACTGTCCACTAGAGAACTAGAGCTTGGTAATTGTTACCTTGCTATAATGGATTGCTGAGTGTGGGAAGTAGCAAAACAATGAGCACTAGTTGAAAAGAGGACACAGAACAATAAGCTAGCAGTGAATTACCAAGGAAGTACAATCTTAAGAGCTACAGAAAAACCTGCTTTTGCTTTAACAAAAGCAACAGTTGATAAACAGTTGCTGTGGGCTGGGAAATTTACCCCCAGCACCCTGAACAGTGAAAGCTCTAAGTTAGGAAACATCTAGAGGCCCAACCATGCTCCAGAAGATGGTGGCCTGGGGTCGGGTGGAGAGTGATTCGGGGAAGACTCCAGCAACTCGCCAACAAAGTTTAAATTGACAAGCAGGTATTCTTTATTGCGGCACCGGGAGACACGGGGGATAGCTCCTCCTAACGTGTCTCAGCCGAACCTCAAACAGACTGTGATTATATTGTTGCTTAATATGCATATTCATTAAACATCATACACATTCATTAACCACCCGAGCACTGCTTTACATAATTCCATGCCCATTTTCACACGCACATAACCATGTGGTAGTGGTCTTCTGGGGATTGTTTTCTTCTTCCAGCAATCTTCATCATTTCTGGCAGTCTTTGAAGCACATGCAGTAGATAATGCTTACACCAGCTTAATTGGTTTGGTAACACTGCAGACATAATCATCCTGTCCTTCTACTTGTCAGGTAACTTAGCTGCAGCCCGTCCTGGACATCTGCTAGTTTCAGGTACTCTTTTATCTACATGTCCTGTTTTTCTATCTGGCTTTTCTTACACGTATTTTGTACTAAGGTCGTAAGGACCTAGAACTATATCAACTACAATAGTTTATCTTATACAAGGATTCTCATTATGTTCTCTAGCTGTACTCTATTTTTTTTCTTCTGTGAAATATATATCTTAGTTATTTTCCATTGCTACTGTTACACCACCATCAAACTTAACATTACTTAGAACTGATTCTACTTATTTACAAAGGTTTGTATTTCATTTTGTGCCTCCTTGTCTCAAGTGTGACCCACGTGTGCCAATGACAGAGCATCAGCGTACTGCTAAGTATGTAGTGATACTGTGTTTTCAGGAACTAAATGTTAGCATGAAGTATGCTACGAATGAAGTTTTAACACTTGCCTGCTACTAATGAAGTTTTAACACTCGGTGGCGCTCTTAAGTTGCCTTAAGAGTCTCACCATAGCGTGTACACACGTGTTCAGTGGGAACCCGGACAGGAGCTCCTAGAAATGGTAATGGGGGTCTCCGGATGGACCTCAGCCAGACCTGGAATAGCCATTCCTAGAGTAACATTGCCCCTGCCCTCCTGCAGCCTCCAGAGTCACAAAGGTGCTGCAGTGCAGAAACAATGGGATGCTGAATGTGACAGCTCTCAGAAAACACTGCCCTATGTCACCCAGTCTTCCCTCGCAGGTTTTCAGTGCAGGAAAGTGACAATATATAAACCAGCTCATTCTGGTGTATGTACAAACCCCTAGGTTTTAGTCTTACTATTGATGCGAGGAATAGTAATGGACTAAGGAAAGGGTTAAGAGTTTTCTTCAAACTGTGTATTGATTGTGTTAACTTAGTATGGGGAACAGATTATGTTCTTGTTCTTGCTAGTCTTGTGGTTAAACTGTAACTCAGAATAGAATAGGTAGTTAAAACACATTATTTAAAATCAGGGGCCCTTTTCCCTCAAGAAGATGAATGTCTGACAAGAACCTGTTTCAGCTAGTCTCTATAAGACTTGAGGTTGCCAGCTGGGGAAACTGCACCAAGGGTGAAAATTGCACAGCGAGGAAGACCTCATACTTCATCCAGAAGATCCCAGCCCAAGACCACCAGATGACAATGTGCAGGTGTAGACAGGAGAATGGTATTAATGAATTCTTGGAACTAATTGTAATAAACTCCTCCTATGTTTGTAAAATCTGATGAATATGTATGTTTGTGTGCAATAAATATCCAGCCTGTTGAGCTCTCAGTGTGTGAGTTAGGAGGAGCGATCCCCGTCACACCTGGCGCCGCAATAAACATACCTGCTTTATAACTCTTTGTGAGTTATGAACTTCAGTTCCGTAAATCACTATGAGTACACAAACTCTTTGGTGCTTGGCTACAAAAGATGTAGAGAGAGGACTAAATAAACTGTTGAAACTGTAACTAAAACTAGCAGTATTCTAAAGTTGTTAGCTGCACTCACCAAACTGTCCTCTGTACATCATCAAGGCCTGTGCTCATCATACGCATGCGTGTAAAGTTACTGGAGTCCACCTTGCCAGGCTCCTAGGGATGTCCATTGTACAACAGCATTATATGTGTAACTCTCACCTTTTTTCTTTCTGGAGGTATAACATGTGAAGGTAAGTATGGGCGAGAAGAGAACCTGTTCCGGAAATCTAGAGCTCGTACAAGTCGTTCCTATTGAAGTGAAGAGAAAAACAAACCAAAACAAGCCTGTTACGGGTTTGTCTACACATTGATGACGTTTAAAGCTGATTTTATCCCTTCTGTTTTGCAGCAGAGGCTGAGAGATCCCCGCCGTATCACACAGAGGAACTCTGCTGGAGAGCAGAATAAACTGCACGCCGGGCACCCCGCACCACGGCTGCTCCCCGGAACCGGCGCCGGCATGCACGGCACGGCAGGGCAGAACCCAGAGGGAAGCTCCGAGAAAGCATCTCGACACTGGTCCGGCACTGCACATCAAGGCCAGGAGCACAGGGATCAATCAGCGGGGGCGACCCCAGCGTACCCGGTGAGCGCTGCGGCAGAAGGCGGTCCGTTGCCGGGTGCTCTGGGCCGGCTGCAGCTGGTGGGAAGCGGCGGACCGCGCCGCGTCGTACCGGTACTCGCAGCCGCAGGGCGAGAGCAGCAGGCGGCCCCCCCCCGCGTAGTGCACCTCCGCCGAGTCGTCCCCGTACAGCACCATCAGCCGCTCCGCCATGGCCGGGGCGGCGCAGCCTGGGCCGCAGCCGGCACCAGGAACTGGGAAAGCCCCAGCTCACGGGTGCCGCCTCCGCCGGGCGGGAAGGGAGGGATGGGGCGTGGCGCCGAGCTCACCGGCCACACAGCGGGGCTCGGTGGGGTCGCTGCGGCCTCCTGCCTGCAGGGCAGCAGGCGGAAGCGTGACCCGGTTTATACACTGGGTGGGAATACAGTTTCAACTTGTTAGGGTTCGTTATTACCTGCTGGAAACACAAGTATCTTTTTGTTGCTCCAGAGATGAAGATTAGCAGTACAAAGGCCGAGATTATAGAAAAAAAACCTATTTACCTGTATAGAATCACACAGTCAGCTATGTTGGAAAAGATCTTTAAGATCATCAGGTCCAACCATTAACCCAGGACTGCCAAGTCCACCACTAAACCATGTCACAACTTCAGCTATACGGTTTGTGAGCACTTCCAGGGACGCTGACTCCAGCACCGCCCTGGGCAGCCTGTTCCAATGCCTGAGCACCCTCTCTGTGAAGAAAGTTTTCCTAATATCCAACCTAAACCTCCCCTGGTGCAGCTTGAGGCTGTTTCCTCTTGTCCTATCGCTTGTTACTGGGTGAGGAGAGACCAACCCCCACCCTCCTTTCAGGTAGTTGTAGAGCGCCATAAGGTCCCCCCTGAGCCTTCTCTCCCCTCAGCTGTTCCCCATCACACTTGTGCTCCAGACACCAGCTCTGTTGCCCTTCTCTGGACCCACTCCAGCACCTCAATATCTCTCTTGTAGTGAGGGGCCCAGAACTGGATTCAAGGTGTGGCCTCAACAGCACCCAGTACAGGCGGATGATCACTGCCCTGGCCCTGCTGGCCGCACTACTGCTGATGCAGGCCAGGATGCTGTTGGCCGCCTTGGCTGCCTGGACACAAGCTGGATCATGTTCAGCTCTGTCAGTCACCATCTCCAGGCCCTTTTCTTCTGGGACCTGTACCTGTGCTTTAAGAAAGACCTTGTTCAGCAAGTGCCCTGATACAGAGCAGGGCTACCTGGAGCACAGCAGCAGCAGCACCAGTGCATTCCTTCCTCCCAGCTACTGTACAGGAGCTGTGGGTGTCTCCCCACAGGGTCACCTCTAGAAAACAAGGAGGCCAATGGCCAATCTGCCACATGTCCCGAAGACAGATTATATTTAAGTAACTGTCTGGTCACTGCTCCTGTGTATTTATGCATTTGCAGGGCAGGGAAATCTAACAGGTATCCCTGTACTCAGGACTGAGTTGCAGAAGCCCTAGCTGAATGGACTGAAAGATTAATTTACCAAAGGCCAGTTTAAAAATTATGCCTAATTGCATTCAGTACAGATCTCCATTCTTTCTCAGCAAAGCAGAGAGTAGATCAACACCCAGTGAAGTGGCTACAGACAGCTATGCATCATCAGTCAGTCTGCTTCTGTTTGCAATACCCTTTTAAATGACTATTATCCTGCATTGTCCTTGCCTGAAGCAAGTTTCAAAGTAAGTATCAGGATTACAAATCCTTCATTACTCTTTATGATTTATGGACAATGCATTGTGTGTTACTGGCAACTTCACTGTTGTGGCCAGAACCCTCAGCACAGGAACTGTGGCAGTAGGTCACACATGCTGAAGTAGAGGTGGCAAATAAGCAGTACACGAAACAGTGCACTGCTTTCCCTGACTTCTGGCCAGAGTATCATTTTGTCTTGCTGCATCAGCTAGTGGGATTCACAAGTATAAACTGGGTGATTAGAACTACAATGCAGATGGGGGAAGCTGCAAACTTGAGCTGTCAATACCAAAGGGAAGGCAGGACGTAGTAAGAAAGTACTGTCCCAGAGAGAAATAAAAGCAACTGTTACAAACCAGACTGTCACAAACACTCAGTGCCGTAATGGATTATTCTATTTAAACAGAAAATAAAATCCCAGCTATGCGTGATTTCTGATATAGGACACAGCTGAGCTAGTTTTGCTTGTTTCTGTAGTGCTACAATTACTGAACCCAACATTCAAAAAACCAGTGACCATCTGTTTTCCTAAAAAAAAAACCCCAAAAACCCCACCCCAAATCAAAACCAAACACAAAATACCCAACCAGCCAAAACCCAAAAGATTAGCAGATTTGAAACTACCAAGAAAAAGTTGACTCAATATCCAAATATGTAACTCTCTCTCAAAAGCAAACCACATGAAAAACAGCACGTTTGAAATGACTTCAAGCAGCATGTGATTTTCAAATACTAAACATTTTTGTTAAATCACAAATAATTTGTCTGGAATGGCAAATACTGTTTTCTAATGTGTGAAGCTTCGTCATGTGCTTGAATTTGGAGGCAAAGTCTGTTTCTTTTCAGAACCAGTGCTAAAGAAGTTTGCTTCACTTCTCTCCCACAGTTTGCTTTCCATTGCTTCTGTACCTTCACTGGTTTACCATTATGTCATAAAGAAATCTTTTTAAGTGTTATTTATCTGCAACGTGTTGTTCAGAAACTTGTGGATGAGAAACATACACAGTGCACTTGAAAATTCAGGTGAAACTATCTTTAAATCTCTCAAGACTCATCTCTGTCATGTACAGAACTACTGGCAGTTAAAAGCAGACAGATGAGCAGGAAATGGTGATTATGATGATGCAAAACCTGCTGTTGGCTTTGCTCTCTCACATCTCATTCCCCCATCAGTAATTTGTGTTAGACTCCTGTGAGGTTTAAGACAAGTAAGGTTGTCAAATGTTTAAGGCCAAGATTATCCTGTCTTCCTTATGCAGTAAGGCAGAGTTAAAACCAATTTTTTACTCCAGTATGGCCTTAAAAATTCTTACAAAGCTTCCTATGTGGAGAGACCACCACCATTGTCACTACTTTGAACAGAAGCATCACTTTATGTCACCAAGCAGCACTGCTGGTGGAAGGCAAATCTTATGTTGCAAACTTTGAACCAAATTGCTTCATCCTTCCAATTCCTAGTCCTCAACATTTTTGTACAGGATGACTTGCCCTATTTCTTACCTACAGGGAAGACACACTGTCTCCACAAGCTGACACGGTATACAACTGGAGTCCGACAGCTACATTAGACAAAAAGACACTACAAAAGATACAAAACTAAAACACAGAGTGGAGTCCCTTGAAGACACTATTAGTTTACTGTAATGGATATATGAATACTTGTTCCTTGGGACTTCAAGGTTTGAGTAAGTACGTTTTCCACAGCACATCTGCCTGTAAAGTCAGTGGAGGTCCAATCTGTATTTGGATTCAAATTTTTGTATGAAAAACATGCTAAACATTTGAGAATGTGTGTGTGAAAAGAATCTAATTTAATTTTCACTTTTCTATATTCTGGATTTTGTTCTAGAGACTCTGAAATGCTAATATAGCTCTTATGACCATACTGCTCTTTGATAAACTTTATTTTTCCAATGAGTATTAAAAGATAATACTCTCTGCAACTATCTAAAGAAAAATAGGAGTATTAGGTAAAGGGGAGATAACAGAAAAAGGACAAAAAGTACCTTTTTTATTTTTAAGCAAAAAATGTAGTGAAATTATACCAAAGGAAACAAAACTAGTTAAGTTTTATTTTCCAAAACCCCAACCTAAATAAGTATGTTAAATGAACAGAAAGAAAAGAGTCAGTGCTCACTCTTTGCAGATGCACAAGTTATTTAATCAAACAAGTAACAGTGAAATATTACCAGAATTATTTACATGCATATTTACAACATGTGTTCTTTATAGTTGCTAACTTTTGGGACTTTTTTTTTTATTTTTTTTTTTTAATTTTTTGGTAAGGGATTCTACTCAATCTAACCAGTAACAGATAACAGGAAACAGTACAACTGAGTTTGGCAACAACAATAACAGAGTATCCTAGGAAAGGTAACATGATTATATGGGGTCAAAAGAAGAGCAGTTGGCTTCAGAATGTTGACATTAATGAAATTCATGAATTTACTCCAACTACAAAATCAAACTACATAAAATTAGAAGAATAAAGTAAGTTAGAAGAGTTACCAGCTCAGACATGTTAGATACATTGAAAAGAAAACCAAAACTCCATACTGAGCACTGCACAAACTCTTGAGAAGCATGGGTTAAAACATAACTACATTTGTATGCTCTTGAATAACACCGCAAATTAAAAGCTAGTTTTTGCTTGTAGAAGTTGAAAATAAGCTTATCTAAACCAAAGACTTTGAAAGCACCCAACTTCCAAAATACTGCTTGCTTTCTCACCTATCAACATAGAATGTGTTTGTACCAGGGGAAAAAAAAAAAAAACCAAGCCAAACACATCTGGACCTCATCCGTACAGGTTTGGGGGAAAAAAAGAAGGAAACAAACAAAACAAAATTTCCCACAAAACAAAACTTACACAAATCACTTCTCATTGCTGTAATCTACAGGGGAAAAAATAAAACAAAAAAACTCCCCCAAAACACCCCCCCACCAAAAAAATCCCAAACCCAAGACCCAACTGTTTTTGGATCATGTTTTTTTAGGGGAAAAAAAAAAAATTAAATGTGGGTATCTTTAAAAAGGGTGAGTAAATCCCAATGTATACTGGAACAAGCAAGAAAGCAGTTAAATTCAGATCAAGTTATTCTTCCCCTTTTTCTCAAGTGAAATTTTACGGAGTAATTCCCCATTAGATTGTAATTTCAGTTATGATAATTTTAAAATAATTTTTATTGCAGCCAAAACATTGTTCATATACCTGTACATAAAATAAACTATGATTATATACACAACATTTTAAGATACAGGGCATGAGTTTACAATTTTTGGCAGTTTCTGTTAATGAAAATTGTGTAACTTTAGTACTTGGAGAAACTCAAGCTCCCTGTTTTGGTACAAATGTTTTTATCCCCATGAATTCTAACCATAAAGTGGCTTAATAAACTAACATTAATGTGTAACATCTCACTATTTTTTCGTATGTTCTGATTCTAGACAGAATTTTTCATATGCCTCTTCAATTTCTGGATCCATCTCATC